AAACGGTAACTGTTGCTCGATGCGTAGCGTGCAAAGGCTGTGCTAGAAGTGAGGCGCCGCAGCCGGAAAGGCGGGGACATGCGCGTAGGATGTGCGCCGTAGCAACACATCAATCTCGTATCTACACGCATGCCTCGCCTGGGGGAACTCAGGGATGCCGGAGGGCCCCGCGCCGATTGCGCTGTGGAGAAAGGCTCTCCCAACACGGGCCCAGGTAAAAAAAGGACGCGCTCTTGCTTGGTGCTCCTGCACCAGGCCACCTCCATGCACCCAGATTGCGGCTTGGCTATTGGCATCGGCTAGCTATGTGTAAGGTGGATCAAGGTTTATGTACTGATCACACAAGACAGCCACATTGATGCGCTGCTCGAGAATGGTTTGCAGTGATTGAGGTTTAGCTGTAAGATCCTCATCATCGGCGAGCTTGGTTGAACTTCTATGCGAGAGGACAGTGCTGGCTTGTGGACGCATGGTCGTGGACAGCCCTTGGTCCTGGCAAAAGACGTACGTTGGATTGTTCTTACAGTCCTTTATTCGATGGCCTGTTTGTCCGCAGCGGAAGCAGTGAACCGAGTGATCAGGTCTATTACAGCGGGCCGAGACGTGGCCGGGGCTCCACCAGCTGTAACAGCGCAGAGCATCCTTGCGACCACGAATGCGGCAGTTGACCCAGCTAATCCTCATGTGGCCAAGTTTCAGCGCCTTGGCTGCCAGGTCATCCGGTAGCGCTGCGAAAGCCACCGGCGTTCCTGCGTGCGCCTTCCACGGGAAATACTTTATTGTATCGTGTTGTAAACTGGGTTTTTTTGGAAAAAATTTTATTTTCGATTTTTTTATGCATATATGAAGGAATTATTATTATTTTTTGTTCGGTATAGTGTAAGTGGAGCAGCCAAGCTTTGATTAAAGACCAAAAACGTAAATATTCTCGGAATATAAAAAAAGTTAAGACTCAAAACGAAAAAGTTGTATTTATGCTCCTGCGTAAGCAAAAGCTGACATCTAAAACCATTGTAACTTTTGAAAGTATACGCGTAGCGTGAACTTGGGTAAGGGAAACTTATACAAAGGAATCTTTCACAAAATTCTAAAAATCTACAAGTTTTTTTGTAGTTCAGTGTGCAAAAATGTAATACGAATTTTTCCTTTAATAATCAAACGTTTAATTAATATCATTTTTATGAGGAAGCTCTTTGCCAATAAATTGGCAGCGGTTTTTGTTTTAATTAATTTGTATGATTATCAAGAATCATTTCTCAAAGTTTCAGCCCCGTAGCTTATAAACGCATTTTCGCTCGAGCCTCCATAACCCTTTAAGGGCTCAAAGGGGGCTTAAATAATTATATATTTCTATTTATAGTATTAAGCTGAAAAAGTGAAAAAAATTTTTTTCAGAAAACAGGCATAAGAGCCTTTTTCAATACCCCATTTGAAAGTACTTTGTCCAGTTAAATACTTACAAACACTTAAATTAACTTGTATCAGCCTATGACCCTTCAGCGAAGAGCACTGAGGATATCTAAGCTATTTGTCGTAAGATTCTAAGTGATGGCTTGACACGACTAAGTTCTAGGTCATTTCATTTTCTTCGATGGATCATTATCCATCAACGCAACCTCAAGCTAAGCATAAGATCAACTTTGACTACTTCCACATTCAATTTAATAAAATATTTTATTCATTAATGATTATTTTTGATAAATTTTAAAAATACAGAGCATGTTTTCTAACTGTCCTGAATCACCAGAAAAAGTTTGGGCCAAATCGATGACTCGAAGGTGAGAAGGTCTCCTTGTTAGGTGAGGACGCGCATGGCCTAGGATCCTCTACGAAATTAAGTATCGGCCACGGAAATCGTTACAGCACATGCCTCAATTAATCCTTTTCCCACAGTTTTCCTACTTGCTTTTCGATTTCAATCTTATCCTCAAGCGTGCATCTGTACGGTCTTTTACTGAGGTAAGCTTCCATTTGGAGGTCAATGTGGGCTTCGTAATTTTTCACTGATCCGACATCGTATTTGTCCTTAGCAAAAATTCCTATATATTCTTTGACTAAATTGTCGATTTTTACTTTTTCTTGGACCTTTAAGTGTTGGGCCTGGATCTCAAAATTATCTACGGCACAGTGTTCATTGAAATTTATTGTGACCTGGTCTTTCTCAAATAAAGTGGATTTCATTTCGATATTTTCCTCTGCAAGTAAGCTTTTTCCGTCTTCGTATGCTGCATCTGCTCGTGTAATTTTGAGATTCTCATCTTGGCGCCATTTGTAATCCTTTATGCAATCCAATCATATTAAAATATCGTAGTCAAAATATTCGCTCTCTGCAACAACAAGCGGTCTTCTTTGTTCCATTCCTAGAATTTTCATCTTCGCATATATTAATTTATCTGTTTTTCCGACACCAAAGATCGTTTTTAAATTCTTTCCATTTAAAGTGCTTATACGATCGTTCAATTTTTTTACTAATCTTGCTTTTATCAGTTACACAGTCGCCTCAGAATCATACCCGCCATCCACTACGAACGAGTAGTTAAGCCTTACTTTCAATTTGATCAATGGTGTCAATTCAAGTTTTTTGCTTCGTCTCTTATGACTTCCTGTAACTCTGCATTATTAATGAATTCAGCTCTCCGTTTCCTCTTATTTTCTTTTGGTTTAAACCAACAATCTTCTTCTGCATGAAATCTTGTTCCTTTATCATACGCTTGACAGAACTTGCACGGTGACTTTTTTTGCTTCGGTTCTATTCTTGACATTTTACTTTCTACAGGTCTTTTTTTTCCACGAGGTGTTCTAATCTTCCGACCTCATTGTACAAGTCTTTTACCTCTTGAAGTGCATCTCTGTCAATTCTATCTATTACGAAATTTGGTAAGCCTATAGCTATGAGATCTATCAGCGTGCCTGTATCTATACTTTTTCGCCTTTCTAGGAGAAGTCTCTGTTTTTTTACAGCGCACTCCAAAAGGGATCCCGCTTGAAATCTAAACGTCATCGCGTACCTGATATGACTCCATCCTCTATTGGAATACGTCTCGATGAAATTCTTCTTTCATGTCTTCCATCGGGACTTTAATGATACTTTAATTAACATGCGGCCATACCAATCTAGATATGATTTTTCTAGAAATAGTCTGAAAAGTTCGATCTTTTCTTTATCTTCGCTAATTTCACAGCGCTTACATTCATCTTCGAATTCTTGCATCCATTGTTGAGTATTCGAACTCTTCATTGAAAATTTTTCAAGCATGAACTTTTCTGCTATTTTCGGTAAGTTTACCTTATCCACTGTCTGTTGTTGTTGTTGTAAAAATTTTCCAAATAGCTCGGCCAAAGATCCATCGCTTTCACTTTCTCCAGCCCCTTTCTCTTCCTCGTCTGGTTCTACTTTTTCCAAAAAATATCTTTCGAACGTCAAATTTCCTACGTTATCGCAATATACTTTTTTTATTTCCTCCGTGAGAGCCAAGTACACACTTCCCTTTTGGTGTCTTCTTTTCAGAGTATTTTTTATTCCAGCGTATGTCTGAGTATTTCCTAGTGTGACATGCAGACTCATATCCTGTAAATTCTCTGGGTAAGTATAAATCTGCTCATCCTTAGTCTCCACAGCCGTCAAACATATCTTAATGCTTTTCCCATCGGGCATAGCCTTCATTTCAAACGTAAATTTCAATTTATCCATCGTGTGAATATTAACTTGACGATAATGTCGTTTTATAATGTTTATTCTATGTGAATCACGTGAAGGGGTGGATTAAAGACAATGCGTTTCTCTGTGAACAAAGATTTAATACAATAATATTGTCTTCACTTATTAAATTATTTTACAATGATAAATACCTGTGAACAAAGAAACGACATTACGTGTCGATTATTCACAGTACCCTTTTCGGCTCACTATTTACAAGACTCTATCCCTCTCGTCTATTTACAAGTCGTATAAGTCTAACTTCAAGAAATACAATCACATGACCAATAACTATAATATGTAAAGTACTACGTACTTTACATACACTTTGTGTACTTATGTACTTTTGATTACGTGCATTATGCATAACATAATGTGCGTAACATAATTGACTCAATTTTTATTTACTAATTATATATAATTTTTATACAATTCTCAATGAAGCTTATGCAAACAGCATTCGCAGTCAAATATAACGACAAGTCACCAACAGCGCATTTATACCGTACACACTTTTTTCGCTGGTCGGAATCAGACGTTCCTACCAGTCGGAATTGCCGTCCGTTTAAGCATAGAATCGCTTCACAATCCGACATTCGTGATCTGATGCTACGACTCGGCGCAGTCTCTGCATGCGAAGATTGAAAGTAGCGTTTCGTTATACTTCTTGTCATCTTGCGCTTCAACGTAACAAATCTGAGTCATCGAGAAATAATCGTTGCCGTAAGTTCCGTACATACTCAGGCCATACTTCCGATATTTTTTTCGGTGTAGACCTTCTTCGATAAGTATTTGACACATCTTAGCTAACTATCGAAGAATGTCAAGTGTTCGCAAGACTCAATTTAGTTCAATAAGGTTTTTTTCTGTTCGATAGGCCATTGATTATAGTTGCAAACAAAATCTAAACATTAGATAAACTTTAACATTTTTGACATACAATTGAGTAATCTTCTATATTAAAAATTATCATAAGTGAATAAAATATTCTGTTATTTAATATTTAATTGTATGTGAAAGGAGTTATAATTTATCTTATTCCCAAATTTTGATATACTAGATGTTTATTAATTGGTTTTAAGACTCTTTTTTATCTGCACCTTCTATTTTTATCTTTTTAATCTCTTAATTTTCCTTCATAGTATCTAAAATTGTTATTGAAGATTGTTTATATGTCAAACAAGTTTACCATCTGAATTATATTGTAATGGTTACTTAATTTGTTTTTAAAGCTCTAATCGATAATCAATTAATAAAAAATGAAAGAATATTTCATTCATGATGAGAAATTTTAAGGTGTATAATGACTTTTCAAAATTTAATTAAAGTTATTTGTCCATTCCTTTTTGCAGCATACTTAGACAAAGTAGACTCTCATAAAGTTTCATTACTATCAGAAGAACCTTCCTTGTCTGATAAAATTCTCCAATTTGCAACATTGGAAGAAATACAAATATCTTGTACAATACTGATGCTAGACATATTATTGAAACAGGTAAGCATAGTGATATTTAAGATAAAATGTTGGGTAGTTTGACACATATTTTAATTTAATTGAAAACATTATTATAGAGGTTTTCAGGGTTATTTATTCAAACTTTTCAGTATAATATATGATAATTGAGACAATCAGAAGTAGAAAAAAATTTTTTACCCCAAATTGATTATTAAGGGCTAACAGGTGTGACGTTGTGCCTCTGCAAACGTCGTCGCGTCGGCTGCGAGAAATGGATAATTAATAATGTTGGCGACGCCGATAATAATTGCGTGGTATCTTTGCAGGTACGCGCGAATAAAGGAGCGAAGGTAGAGCCCGGCTCGCTCTCCGCAGTGGCGCGCGATCGTAAACATTGCCGTGTTTACGTTCGCTTGGCCCGCGCCGCGAAGCCGGAGCTGCTACAGACACGAGACATAGACAAGACGACACGAAGATCCTCACGACCCGTGCGTGCCAATTAGCAGACGATCGCGACACTTGAGTTTCGACCGTTGAGCAGTGTGGAGCTGAGTGTATGCGAGTCGTCGTTAAGCTTTCCTCGGAGTAGTTTTGTCGGAGTATTTTTGTAGTTGAGCGTGTGTGAGGAGTGTGTAGTGAGTGATTGTTGAGTGCAGGTTGGTCTTGGTGCGTGTTGGTGAGAGCGAGAAGTTGGTGGCCACGTGCTCGAGCGTGTGTGCTGGCAAGACGTGCGGCGCACCAAATCGACATCAACGCGACGTAGTTCGATCTTCCGGCCCGTCCCTATTCACGTCTGTGGCCAACAGACGACCACGAGGAAAAGCAGCAGCAACTCTTAGGACCCCGGCGACGCGGAGTCTACCCGTGCGGTCGCGAGCCTCGAGAGCGAGGAATACTGTGAGTAGCCATTGGTATTACCGCGCTTCGCATAGACCCTCCGAACGGCAACGCAGCTCGCGTCCGCGACCCGGTGTGAATGAGTGTGAGAGCTTTGGCTGTGTGTGAATGAGTATTTAGAGTATTTCAATAAAATAGAATCTTTGTGTTTATCGAAACTCACTGTTTTATTATTTCAAAACCCGTCGTTTTCCTTTCCTCTCTCTCTCGCGGATTTTCTCGTTTACAGGTGTTTTTCTAGGTGCATTTTTGCAGTTGCAGGAGTCCCCGCTCCATACCTGTCGACATCCCCTCCAGGAGGAGAGTCGTACCTACGACCTCGAGGTAGTATCTCGCGTTCTTCCCGTCCCTATAGAGCTAGCCGGACCCTGGCCGACGACGAGCAGTCGCTCGTCTGGCGCGTCGTATAACGACAATATAACGACAAAGTCGGCCAGGCATTGAGAACGCCTTGTAGACGGTGGACACGGGGAGTCGACCGTCACACAGGGGACTTGATTATTTTTCATTTTTCAATCACAGTACTAGGCTGTAAAAGTTACAAAAAATTTTTTTTAAGAACACACATGATAACCCTTTTCAATACCCTATTTGAAAGCATTTTGTCCAGTTGGATACTTGGAAACAGTTAAGTACAGACATAATTAGTGTGTTGACCCTCTACTTAAGCTGTAGATACATCTAAGCTACCTGTCGTAGAAATCCAAGAGTGAGCCTCAATCTATTGTGGCCTATGTGGTTTCATTTTGTTCGATGGTTCCTGCCTCATCCGGGCCATCGCGGCTTTAAAGACGATGACGGAGTGTATGGATGTACCTTCCTCGCAGGAGGCCGTGGTAGCTGCCTCCACTCCGTCCTCGAAGAGGAACAAGCGATCTACGGCATCGCCACTGCAGGTCATTGCAGCGGAGAAGCGTGCCACTGAACCTCACCCGCACGAACAGGTCGTCGACGGCAACAACAACAACACCGTACACGGTGTGGAGACCTTCACGTTCGTGAAAGGTCGACGTGGCCGGTGCCGTGACGCTCACCAGGCTGAAGAGGCCGAACTTGGCCCGCAGCCCCTGAGGCCGCGGCAGCGCACGGCTCTCTGTTACCAGCTAGGCGTGGCCAACCTGGACCCAAATGTCGTGGGATCTCTGCAAAAAGCGTACGCCGGTTTGCAGACCGCCGTCATCGACCTACTCGACGAGCTCGCGGCCAGGGCGATCAAGCTTGGTCACTTGAGAGTAAGCTGGGTCAGCTGCCGTGTGCGCGAGCGCGCTGAGGCCTCGCAGTGCTTCCGTTATTGGGAGTTCAACCACGTCGTTGCACGCTGCGTAGGTCCTGACCGATCGAAGCTCTGCTATCGGTGTGGACAGTACGGACATCGAGCTAAGACCTGCATAAGCGCACCGGTGTGCCTACTTTGCCAGGGTCCGGATGCCAGCGGCCACACCACTATCAGCCCTAACTGCCCTATGGCTAAGAAGTTTCTTAGCAGCCGACGATGAGGTTTTTTGACTGCAGGTCGGCCCAAAAACTCTTGAGCCAGACAGTGCGAGAGCTCGGCATAAACGTGGCCATCGTGTGTGACCAATATAAAAACCCTGGTCAACACTGCACATGGATAGCCGACTCCAATAGGCAAGCTGCCATCTGGGTCCGCGGCAGGGTTGCATGCAATGAATTACAAATGTAATTCGATCACATAAAAATTACAAATTATCACGTAATTTCCATTGCGAACTAAAAGTAATTTGTAATGGAAAATAATTTCCATTGCGAATTAAAAGTAATTTGTAATGGAAAATTATAATGATAATTATAATATGCAAAATATGTATACAGTGAAATCTCTCTATAGTGGACACCCATAAAACCTGGAAAACTGTTCGCTATTCAGAAGAATACGAAGTGGGGAAATTTTTAAAAAGAAGAACATTTTTAACTATATTTTTTTTTCATCCCCGACGGAAAAAAAATTGTTCAAGAAAGAGTAGATATTAAAACTATCAAATTGAAGATGGGTGCATCATCCACACTAAACACGTATGAATGTGTTGTGTTCAGTATGCGAGATGCATATTTCTCCATGCGGGTTTCGAGATACGACCTTTTTGTACCAGCCCGTCGATGTTGCGAAGTGGTTGTATGCCGTGCGTTTATTATACGTATATTGAACGCATTTTTTAGAAAAATCTGCGTTATCGTGCATTTTGATATTCAAATGAGTTTTTGCACAATCTGACTGATAATCTTGGAGATAGTGCAGTGTTAATAGTTATTAGTAATTATAATAAAACAATGAACAATAAGAAATATTTTAAAATTTACACTCAATATTGGATTTCGCTTATTCCATATGAAAACTCTGTGATGGATTCACGAGCGAGTTTATAAAACAGGTGTCATCGGACCACAAAAAAGTTGAGTTCTCTTCTAAAAGTCTGAATTGAAAGCTTTTTCCGAAATTTTTTTCTTCATGACCTCTAATTAAAGATTTATTATTTATGAAGAAATAATGATTGGAAAAAATTTTTTTCTCGTGTCTATCATCTGAACCAAGAAAATAGAGAAAGGTCAAAGAGCTCACCAGAAAATTTCAATTATATATTTATTCCAAATGATACAATTTTTTTTACTAAAAATGACGACTTCGTGGATATGTTCTTCAAGATTTGCAACGGCTAATACAGACCGTCGCAAGTCAATGCTCAGGACAAGTTGGGTACACGCACCGTTGCATTTGTGGCTGTCGGTCACAAAAATGTAGCTAGATCACCTCTACTAAGCAAATCTGAATTTGACCAATAAAGAAGAATCAACTCCTCGTCACATATTTGTATGAGAGAAAACAATAATGACTTGTCGAAGATATTATTCGAAATTTGCCTCGACTATTATCATCAAGTACGGATCAATTACAAATTGGATAACACACCGCTAAACTTGGCTCTTGATAAAAATTTGGAGAGCACAGCCGAGTTACTGCTAATAAATTACGCATATCCAAATACAGTCAATTCAGAGGGATCAACTCCTCTGCACGTCATTTGCAAGAGATACTACAGTGACCTTATGGAATTGTTTTTTGAAAACAGTGACGACAAAAATAAACCAGTGCCGGTCAACGCCCAGGACAATTTGGGAAACACACCGCTACACTATATACTCCGGACCACAATAACGAATTTGTGCTGAGAAAATACGCCGACTTTAAATTTAGAAAATCTGGAGAGATCGACGCCTCTACATATGATTTACAAAAGAAAAACGATGATGAAGCAATGGACTTTTTCTTCAATATCTGCGTCGATATTCAGCGGCACTTGACCCTGGAATACGGACACAAAAAGTTGGTAGAATTACTGCTAAGAAAAGGTGCCGACTCAAATTTGGTTAATTCAAAAGGAGAAACACATAATTGGTGGAAAAAACGAAGGTGATGGCTTAGTGAAGCTATTCTTAAAGATGAAAAATGAAATTCAGTAGACGGAGATCTAGTTTGAAATGTTGTTTTGTTTTTCAATAAGGAATAAGTGATTTTTTTAAATTATACGACACAAATTATAATAGCAGTTTGTAAAAAAAGATTTATTTGATAATTAATACTATTGTTGTATGAAAAAATATTTTATAAATATTTAACAAAATTATTTTTATATAAACATTTTTCATTTTGAAATTATTTAAATTCAACCAAACTTAAATTGAAATCAAATTTAAAAAGAACGAAACCAAAAATATGCAAATCTTTATTCTGACGATGATTCATCGTAAACGTTTTTGTAAACATTTAAAAATTTAAGTATCTATAATCTTAAAGCTGAACAATGTGTTTAAAAAAAAATAAATAGATATTGATGCGTGAATCGTCCACTCGAACTATTTTGTTGACTATGCATCTCGTACTTAGTACCAAAGTTGTTACGTAGGATGGGATTAAAAAGACAGCAAGATAGCAATATTTAGCCCAAAAATTACATCTGGTTGAGCGTGACGAGTCAATCCCTTTTGTGAGAGCTCGTGGCTCGTGATATTCCTGACCGGTGAGATGCATAGTTAGCAAAATTTGTCGCACGGACGCTTCGGCAATCCACGCAACAATGTTATTTTTAAAGGTAACAAAAATAAATTTATTTCAAAGCACAGGAACT